GATGGGCCCGCTTGATGAGTGCAAAGCCATCGGTGTCATCGGGGGACAAGCATTCCTCCCACCAGTTGATGTTGAGATCGAGACAAGCCTTGACAAGTTCGATTGTGTACGTGACGTTAAGACTCATGTAGCAGTCGACCATGATGGGGAAATCGGGGCCAACAGCTTCACGGTGCTTTCGCAAGAACTCGACGTTCTTTCGCAGACCCTCATGGCCATCGTCGGGGCAGAAAGGCAGAGGAACCTTGGCTCCCCAGAAACCCATGGACTTGGCAGCGGTAGGCTCAGGGCCAGTGCAGTAGAAGTCGAGGCGCTCCTTGGTAGCACCACCAATGAGACGATACACGGGCTCATTGCGAACCTTTCCGATCAAATCCCACAGGGCGAGATCGATAACTGAGATGATGGCAATAGGGAGACCCTTGCGACCATAGAACATGGAGGCTCGGTACATCTGCTCGAAAAGAAGGTTGGTGTTGCGGGGGTCGGCACCGATGAGGAAACGCTCGAAGTGCTCGTGAACGAGCCAGCACGCGGGAGGGCCTATTGACAAATGTTAGGCACTCTAAAGGGTCTCGAGTAACTGTGTCATTGGCTTGACGCAGGGGTTCAAACTCACCTCCAAAACCAGTTGCGAAACCAACTGTGCCGTCTGTAGCTTCAATCTCGACAAGAAATGACCCGAGAACGTTGATGCCCCAGCTAGTACGCGACTTCTTGTACTTCTCCCATTTTGAAGCTGGTGTTGAGATATCGCTGTCGATGAGCCTACAAATAGAATGTGAGTAATGCGATCGAGGCCAGTTTTACAGAGGCAGGGTGAGCGAGCGTACCAGTGACCACCCTTGACATTGTGATAATCACCACCTGTTTCGCAATTCGTTAACATTGCTCAAATACTCTCCCCCCCCCCAGTTCTTCTTCACTGCGCAGAAAGTGAGACGGCATACCTGATCCAACGCCACCGATAATGAATGACCTTACAGCCTTGATCTTGGGGAAGTCCTTAACAGACGTCATTGTGAATAATGTAAGAGAAGTCAAGAGAATGAAATGAATTGTGATATGCTTAGAATGACTACTCAGAAGATGTGCAGGAGATTCTGACGAAGGCGTTGAATGAAGAAGAAAACAAGATAGCTACGAGCTGGGGATGGGCTTATTTACAAAGGATGCACTTGTGGCACTACAAGGTGGGCTTGAAAACGCAATTGTAACCGATCGCGGATCATGGAACACAGGAGCCAATGGCTTTAGTCGCGAAGCTCATGATTGACTGGCCAGTAAGTCTTGTGATAGCATTCCGAGGGCAGAAACCGGCAAAACGTGCGCCGGAATCCCCTCTGGCAAAGCAGATATCGGGTTAAGATGCACCGAAGTTGGTGTTGATGATGGAACCTTCCCCAATTACAGGGTCATCTCCATATTTTCTCGGTCCTCGTCGGGGTTCCACAAGAGTTGAGGGAAACCTTAGGCTATGATCACGCAGCTTAGAGGCGGCTCATAGGTTCCCAACTTTTCCCTTAGGTTGTTTTTCTGGGGCCGTTGGAAGTTACGAGCATTTTGGGGGGAGGGGGGGGTTTTGCCTTTGAGCTCTTGTTGTTGATTCCCATTACTACCTGCAGTCATACTGAAGTCTATGTCAGCTGTTGGTAGACCTAATCTCGCACCCAGTGGAGGCTCTTGAAAGCCGAGCCCGGTCTTTGCGGGGTGACAGGGGCGGAAAGGCATAAGAAGTCGGCAACTGTGGAGAGCACATAATTACGTTAGCAGCTTAGGTAGGGTAAAAAGAAAAACCAGTCGTGGCTCGAAAGCGATCAACATCATATTTATAAAAGTATACCTATGGACGGAGATATAGACACTTCCGTCTCACAGCATAAGATATCCCCTGCCACCCGTACCCTGATGGATGTTAGCTCTATCAAGGTCATTGAGCCTGATATAAGTTGACGTGCTCAAAAACAGTGACCGCTTCTGAGGCTGAACAGAACAATCCTGCACTGACATGGGTGAAGCATGTGCTACATCCGGTCTGGGGCAATGAATTCGGCAACTGATCCACTTGTATATCTCATTCCACAAATCAGATTATACCGCTTCTTTCATTTCCCCGCCTCAACCCCTTGAGGAAAGAGCTTGTGAGGGCGAAGTCGAGGCAAGAAGGTTTGGGAAGGTACGCGTGCGGCGCGAGATCAGCTCCTTCTCTCCGCATTACTTGAAAGTTTATGCCCATCCTAGGTACCTTGCCTTAGTTGGATATCCGGTTGCATGTGCAAGCAAGCTGTGTCTCTCCTTTTCCTCACCACCTTTGATCCCCGGTTCATTATCAAAACAAATCAATATCCTAAAGAGTCTCTCATAGCTGTGTTGCAACTCTTGATAATTTATTCTGCGGCTCCGGCCAACGGAAGTACACCGACGAAACCGAGTTCTGGCAGTTTGTTTAGCCCCGAGTCCACCTCGGCCCACCTCAAATTGGTCCGGTCATCACGGCGCCACTTCCCATCCGTCCGAGGCACAAAGCCAGCAGAAAGCGAGGAGAAAAGCGAGAAAAACAGGTGATAGGCAAAGGGGAACAGGGCTGCTCATAAATAACATTAACAGCAAGCATTCGTGCTTTTCGGTAATTCGCGGTAACGTCCGTCACCCAAAGACTGGCCACCCCCACAGACCGGCCACCCCGACCAAAACACCAAGAACCGGATATCATGATCAATTAACTAATTATCTCAACACCACATTTTTTATATTAAATAAAAATTTAGTCAGTGAATATTTAGATGAAACTGAGTACAAAGGTCCTCAAGTTTTAATTTCTTAA